GGCGCTCTCATTCATCCTTCCCTGGAGCCACTTCCGGCCCGGGGTCCAGCCCCCTCCCTGCGCACGGCACGCCGCTGCCCGCGGGTGTTCCCCCGGCGCCCCCGCAGCCAATCGCGTCGTGTCTCCGCCTGCCCTGCGGCCACTGCTCAGCTCCTTGCCTGGTTCTCCGTTCTCCTTGGTGCAGGCCCAGCTCCTCTCCCTCAGCAGGGACCCCATGACCTGATGTTTATGATCTTCCCCAGCACCCTTTCTTCCTGCTCGTCACACCAAACTATTTGCTATCTTTCAAAAGTCTCTGTATATGTTTTCTCTGATTAAAAAAAAAAATTATGGTAAAATACACCAACAGAAAAGAGGGTTCGAACATATGTATCTTCTCCCTCCGTTTGGCTAACTCCTATTTGCGTTTCCAAACTAAGTCTAGGCATCATTTTCTCTAAACCTTTCCTATCACTTACTGGTCCGACTTCATTGTCCTTTGTGCTTCCAAAAAACTCTGCACTTAACTTCTCTACGAACAGTATTATACGTAATTGTTGGCTTGTTTTGTTTTTGTTTGTTTTGTCTTCCTTGATTAAAATATAAGGTCCTTAAGGCCAGAGACAATAAATATCTTATTTGCTTCTGGACTTCCAGTCCCTCCTATACCTGGTATATAACATATATTAAATACATGTTGAAAAGCTATAATAAATAATGAAATATCTCCTCTGCATTAACATTTGGTTGACTTTAGAACAGGACAGGAAATGATTACATGGAATTGCAGTAATCCTGGCTCTTCCACGTGTCCCCACTAACCCTTCCTCCAACAGGGCCATCATTGGTTCAGTGACATGTTGATTCACATTGCCCTCTAGCCAATGGAAAGCCTGAAGAGCGTGGACTCTGAATCTATTCTGTGTACCAGTGTTGCCTAATTTGTAAATACCCTGTACCTGTGTGATCCGCCTTGTTGGGAGTCAAGGGGTTCTTTCTGAGTTCAAAAAAACTAATGTAATGTGTATTTACTGATATGACGTCTTATTGGGTGTCAGGGTATCAGGCAGAAGGTTAACGGGAAGGTTAACGGGAAGGGTCTGATTCAAAGTAATCTAATCAAAGTTAGTCATGAAGGGACTAACATAAGTTAGACTTTGAGCAGCTCTGTTAAGTGGACCTGTGATGGATCCTGTGTCCAAACATAGTAGGGAATGACTATATTTCATCGATTCTAAGGTGCTGTTTATTTCACATTTTAATGTCTCTGAAACTGGAGTGTATCTTAAAACATCTTAGATTCAGAGAAATACAATATTATGATATGAAGTATAAAAGAAATCCAACATGTCAATATTATATCAGAGAAATATAATAACAAATATTAATTGATTGGATTGTGACCAAGCCTAGAATTTACACATTAAACCATGAACTAGCCTGGCCAGTGTGGCTCAGTGGTTGAGCATCGACCCATGCACCAAGAGGTCACCATTTCAATTCCTGGTCAGGGCACATGCCCAGGTTGTGGGCCAGATCCCCAGTAGGGGGCATGCAGGAGACGGCCAATCAATGTTCTATCTTTCTCTCTCTCTCTTTCCCTTCCTCTCTCTCTCAAATCAATAAAGAAAACAAAACAAAACAAAACATGAAACAGACTAGAGAAAAGCAATGAATGGCTTAAAACTTAAAACCTGAATTTGCATTGATTGTGATAGAGTTTTCAATGAGCTGATAACTAAGAAAAAAAACAACCATAATCTATGAGCTTCTCCTAATTGCCAAGGAAAATACATACATCCTCAATTCCCTAACCCCCCTAGAAGGTAGGTGTTACTAATTTCATTTTTTTAGATGAAGATTAGAGCAAGTCCGGACCTGCCCAAGGCCACACAGCTAGAAAATATGATATAATAAGCTTTTAAAACCTATTAGCTTTATTCTGTTTTGTGTTCCCTCCTGAAACAAGCACCAACCCTGAAGATAAAAATAATGATCTAAGACCAACATTTTTTTCACTTTGAGCAACTGGATCATCATTGAAGATTAAATATATATGTGTTAGAAACTAACAGAGAAAGTAAATAGGAGAGAGAGGCCTGAACAAGCTTCTTGGGCTTGGTTTATAAAAGCCCCGGAACTGGAAATGTATCGGGGTTATTTCATCCAAAATGACCGTAAATATGAAGTAGAATGCAGCTTCACAAAAAATTTACAGCTAGAACTGACCACTCTTAATATATTATAACTTTTAGTGCTGGATTGTTTAGTAAGGTCTGTGAGACTTAATACTGACATACATCACTAAGGTCAAAGATATTTTGTCCTAAACCTGCCTTGCTGTGATTGCAAATTTGTAGAAATATCTACTATTTACCTATGCATGAAATTCAATCCGTTTCTTCTTTCTCTCCCATTTTAGTGTCAGCCTTAACCTAGTCTCTGTTTGCCCAGCCCCCTTGGAAACTCTAGATTGGATTGTTAACTCCCCATAAGTGGTCCAACACCCTCTAGTTCTGGTCATGCCTGGTGCTAGGATCTTCCCTTCCCCTTGCTGGCCTGTTCCAATTCCATACTGATGTTCCAGATTTTCTTGAGCTGGGATACAGTCTTGAACCTGAGTTTTGACTGTTGTATGCCCTGAGGCAGGGTTTAAAAGATACCAATTAGCCATAAAGTACTTACTAGTCATTGTGCTTCCATTTATCAGGACAATGTATGCTAATTATTAACGATTTTGTGCTTGCGTACATATCCCTTTTTTTTTTTTTTTTGAAAAGACAGCTTTATTGAGATATAATTTCCATACTTTAAAAATTCACCCACTTAAGGATACAGTTCAGTGGTTCTGAGAATGTACAGAGTTGTGCAATCAGTACTGCAATCTGACTTTTTAATTCTTTCACCACCCCCCAAGAAAATTCCAGCTAATCCACTTTCTATCTCTAAGGATTTGCCTATTCTGGATATTTCATATAAAGGAGTAATACAGTATGTGGTCTTTTGTGTCTGGCTTCTTTCAACTTTTATAGTGTCTTCAAGGTTCAGTCATGTTGTAGCATGTGTCAGAATATCCTTCCTTTTTTCAGGCTGAATAATATTCCATTGTACATATATGTGCAGTCATATTTTGCTTATCCATTCATCTGTCAAAGGATATTTGGATTGTTTCTACATTTTGGCTATTGTAAATAATGCTTGTAGGAACATGGATGTATAAATAAATATCTGTTCAAGTCTTGCTTTCAATTCTTTGGGGTATTTACCCAGAAGCTCAGCTCTACTTTTTTTTTTTTTTAATACAAAATTATTTTTATGTAAATTGGAAAATAGCAAATATAGGTATATTTGTGAAGGACATCATTTGTGAAGGAAAGTCTTAGCTTTACTTTGATGTCTTATGGGAAATATTTATTCTACAGATTTTTAAAATAAATCTTGAACTCACTAAGGAGAAATATTGTTTGATAAAACAAAGGCAAATTAAATAATATTTATCAAATATGAATACATGCAATGGTACATAGCACAAAGATTATACGATGCTCAACTCTACTTTTTTTTTTTTTTTTTTTATCCTCACCCGAGGACATTTTTCCATTTTTTGTTCAGGTAGAGTGGGGGGGAGAGAGAGGAACAGAGAGAGAGAGAGAAACATCGATGTGAAAGGGACACATCGAGTGGCAGCCACCCGCACAACCGACCAGTGCCGGGGACAAACTGCAACCGAGGTACATGCCCTTAGCAGGAACCGAACCCGGGTCTCTCAGGACCGCAGGCCAACACTCTAACCGCTGAGCCAAACCGGCCAGGGCTCAGCTCTACTTTTAAAGCTCCTTTCCCTCAGTGTCCCTAGAGGTCGGGCTGCCTGCCGGTGTCTGAGCCATCCTTTTGTGGCAGCTGCTGCTCACAGCTGGGCCACTGCTGGGGTAGTTGCAGCTATTTTCTGGGTCACTGTTGTCTTGGAAGTGCTTAGTCTTTTCTCACAATTCCTCTTGCTCTTCAACTTTCAGCCCCACCTCTCACCTCTTTCTCAATAGGACACGGCTATGTGTGTCTGAATCCTGACTGCCGGATGTGGTGTGACTTCTTATCCAAGAAGGCTCTTTGAGCTCCATGCAAATAGATGGGGGTGGGGCAGGGAGAGATTTGTGATAGATTACCATTCAATTTCATCTATTTATTTTATCCTAATCCTAGAGAGGTCATATCAAGGAAAGGAATTTTTGACTTGAAATAAAGTCAAACATACAAAGAAAATCTATTGTGGAAGTAAGGATTTATTTTGTGAATGTGGCACAAATCATACAGGTGCTTTCTTATTTATTTATTTATTTATTTTTTTATCCTCACCCAAGGGCATTTTTTGCATTTATCTTCAGATAGAATGGGAGGGAGAGAGGGAAGAAGAGAGAGAGAGAGAAACATCGATGTGAGAGAGACACATCGAGTGTTTGCCACCCGCATGACCCCAACCGGGGCTGGGGACAAACTGCAACCGAGGTACGTGCCCTTAGTGGGAACTGAACCCGGGACTCTCTGGTCCGTGGGCCAATGCTTTAACTGCTGAGCCAAACCGGCCAGGGCCATACAGATGCTTTCAATTGGAAATAGAAATCATACACATAGGCTATTTTATTAATTTCTCTGTTTGAAAAATCTACAGAAAATCGGTATATGTCCAAAGCCAAAGAAAGAGTGAAGGCCCCACCATATTGCTGATTGTGCTTGACAAGAGCCTTTTGCGGGCCTGGTCTTGGTTCTGCTACAGCATGGTTTATAAAGAATTGTACAGGATATAAATACATTGTTTGTATCCTTGGAGTTTTCAGGACACAGCTCTTTTTTTGTCAAGGGATTTACAGATTTAAACAAATGTCCATCAAGTTTTTAGAGAGTAGTATTTCTGTTCTATGCAGTTTTTAAAATGAAGAGAAAGGCTGTTGGGGTGGGGGTGGGATGCAGGGAGTAAGAGAAAAAGCAATTACTTTGAATTAAATTGTTGAAAGAGGAAAGTTCTTTCATCTAGGAACAAGGCACAGCTTGAAAGGCGGAGGCAGGTTGAGAAGCCCAGAAACAAGGGGTTTGGTGGTTAGTTCCGTGGGCTCCACCAGGGACTTCAGGGAGAAGTTCTGCAGGATGGTGGTAAGGAAGAGGAACAGCTCCATGCGGGCCAGGCCCTCTCCAACACAGAGCCGTTTTCCTGGAAGGAGGAAACAGTCCCATTAGCTTGCTCCAAATTCAAACACAATATGCCAAACAAAACAAAACCAAACAAAACAAACAAAAAACAAATACAGTATGCCCCTAAGAGCCATTGAAAACACTGACCAGAAAAGGGATGCTTATCAACTGAGGGAGGACAATAAATCTGTACAGGGATACATGTCAGTATATGTCAAAACTCTGTTAAGAAATTTTCTCTTTTTAAGTGGGTAACTCTCCTTCTGGGGATTTATCCTTAGGAATGAGAGATGCACCTGTTAGGATGTCACATCCCTATTTATGATATTGATGAGTTAGATGAACACTGTATATCCATCTAAAATGAATTAATGAAATAAATCCTTCTGCATCTATCATACAATGCAACCTAAATAAGTTTATGTGGAAGATTATTTAATACTACAGTCTGTCTTTTATCACAACAAACTAAATGAAAACAAATGATCAAAGATTGTACAGAAGGAACCAAAATTTTAAAATATACATTCATTATGCATACTTAGACAATTAACAGTGATTATCTCTGTGGGGTGAAATTGCAAATGATTTTTTTTTTTTATCCTCACCCGAGGACATTTTTCCATTTTTTGTTCAGGTAGAGTGGGAGGGAGAGAGAGGAACAGAGAGAGAGAGAGAGGGAAACATCGATGTGAAAGGGACACATCGAGTGGCTGCCACCTGCACAACCAACCAGGGCCGGGGACAAACTGCAACCGAGGCATGCGCCCCTAGCGGGAACCGAACCCGCGTCTCTCAGGACTGCAGGCCGACGCTGAGCCAAACCGGCCAGGGCTGCAAATGATTTTTATTTCTCTCTCTCTGCTTTTCTGCATTTTTCATCTTTTATGTTGAACATGTATTATCATTGTAGAAACAAAACATATTAGCTGTTATTTTTGAAAATATTTAGCAAATGATTAAATAAGATGAAGAAAAAGAATGTTTGCTGACCAATCCTAAATTGTTTTTATGAGCTTATGGGAAGTAGTAGTGGGGAGCCCACTAGCTCTTGCAAAGAGGCAAGAGTATGAGGGGCTCCGATTTCAGAGGAGAAAAAATATGAAGTAGCTGAGGTTTCTTTGATGGCCTCTGACTCTTAAGAATCAGAAAGTTAATAATCGTTAATAATTTAAAAAGAAGGGGAAAAAACTTGTGCATTTGCTTTGGAAAAGTCAATATTACAAAGGGGAAATCAACAGATAAGAGTTTGCAAGAGCAGGTCTCTTTGTCATCTGGTAATAGGTGACATTTGAATTGGATTGTTGGTTTCTTTAAAAACGAACATTATACTCAGTCACTCAACAACAAGAGTCCCTGGGTGACTTGCCTAATCCTACTGGTGCACAGACTTTTTTTTTCTTTTTTTTTATCCTCACTGGAGGACATTTTCCCATTTTTTGTTCAGATAGAGTGGGAGGGAGAGAGAGAGAAACATCGATGTGAAAGGGTCACATCGAGCGGCTGCCACCTGCACAACCCAACCAGGGCCGGGACAAACTGCAACGGAGGTACATGCCCTTAGCGGGAACCAAACCCAGGTCTCTCTTGACTGCAAGCCAACGCTCTAACAGCTGAGCAAAACCGGCCAGGGCTGGTGCACAGACTTAAAGGCTCTGTGCAGTTACATCAGAAACTGTAAGGTTCACTTGGTTGACTTTGCTATCACTTAGTTATGTCCTAAATTCAGTGAAACTAAAAGTTGTCCAAAATGTACATGTGTGTGTTATGGATGGATTTATTTGTATTTACCAAGGGAAAAAGGTACAAAGTAATCTGTTTTTCTGAGGCAGCCGTTTTTATCCAAAAAGTGGCCTGGGTCAAACTTCTCTGGATTGGGGAATTCCTTGCAATCATGTAAGACCGAAGACAACAACGGGAATACAGTCGTGCCCTGGAACCAAGAAACAAGAGAGGAGTTGTACTTTATCATGCCTATCCTGGCTTCATAAACAAGGCTAACACTCGTAATTATAGTGGACTGAACAGGACTGAACACCCTTAAGCTTGCCTGGTGAGTGATTGTCTCGATTTATGGCTATTTTACACACGCTATCATACAACATGTTTTATCGAGTAATAGGATGGTTCTCTTTGGTAAGAGTGCTGTTATGGTCAATGTGCAATAATCGAATTGTTGTTGATAAATGGGGGTTTGCAACCCACATTGTCTAGACATGAACTTTACTGGAACTGCTGCCTCACGTGGGAAGACCCCACTTTTTCACAATCTGTTCCTTTCTCAATTCAGGTGTAAAGGGGAGAACGAGAGATATGAAACCTTGAATCTACTGAATCAGACTCTCCTTCCCTCATTTGTAAAATGGGGTGGGGTAACAAAAACACAGGCTTTCTCCTAATTTACAGATTTTTGTGAGGCTTAAATGGCAAAATAATATTGAAAACTACCATTTATATTGGATGCTTCACATTTGCCACACACTGTGCTTAGTTAGCTCTTTATAAACTATTTAATTCTCACTTCAACTGTACCCAGCAGGCTCTTTTTGTTCCCATTGTATAAGTGAGGAAATTGCAATGCAGAGAGAAAAAATGGCTTACTTGAGGTTATACTTTTAGCAGGTGACATGTTTAGACTTTGACCCAAGCACCCCTTCTTTTTCTCATTTTTACTTTATTTTGTATGTTCTTAAACATAAATTTAGAATCACTGGAGTAGGCAATACATGCACATGGAATAAAATACCCCAAAAATGTATAAAAAAGTAAAAATAAGTTTCTCTTCTTATACTCACATCTCCTGGTTTTCTTCTTGATATGATTAATGTTACCATTTTATGATATATCCTTTGGGAGATATTTTATGGATTAAAAAATAAAAAGGACACACATATACATCCTCCACTATTTTCACACAAATAGTAGCATCCTATAATGTGCTATAGCTTGCTTAGTATTCCACTTTATAGAAATAAAGAAAATTTTAAAGTCTTTTATAAATGAACATTTGGGGATTTTTCAGTCTTCAAATATCACAACTATTATTGCAATAAATAATATTTTAAAAATTAATTAGTTAATTTTTGTTACAGATGTTTCTCCTGTCCCCCCCCCCCCCACGACACCCTCCTCCCTATCCTGCCCACAATAAATAATCTTATAAATAATCTTATTTGGAAAAAAATACATGCAAAGGATAAATTCCTAGTAGTGGAATTCAAATTGTATGTTTTGAATGTTTATAGATAGTACCATATTGCCTTCCATAAAAGTTACACCAATTTATACCACTAGCAAAACTATATGCTTTTTTCCCCCTTTATTGATTTTAGAGAGAGAGGAAGTGAGAGGAAGAGAGAGAGAGAAATATCGATCAGAGAGAACAATGATTGGCCGCCTCCTGTATGCCCTCCACTGGGGATCAGGCCCACAACCTAGACATGTGTCCTGACCAGGAATCGAACCAACAACCTCTTGATGCATGGGTCCATGCTCAACCACTGAACCACATATTACAATCCTGCCAACATATTATAATATGTTGCCAACATATTATAATAAAAAGAATTTTCTTTATAATTTTTATTTTCAATATATCTCATTGTGTAAGTATATTTTTTACACATTTAAAAACCATTTGTAACTATTACTATTCCAATTTTAATTGTCTTTCTTGTACTACATCTGTTGCTTTTTGGGTTTGTTCAAACTGACTGTAGGAGTTCATTTTATTTTTCAGTAATTAGTCCTTTCCTCTTATGAACTATGCAACATTTCCTCTAAGTTTGTCATTTATTTTTTGACTTTGTTTCTTTTTCCAGGCAGATTTTTCTTATTTGCATATAGCCAAATTTATTGATTTTTAAATACATGGCCTTCTTAGTCTTCTTTTTTGGGGGATGGAGGGTCAATGTTAGAAGTCTTTTGGAACTTTGAAATTCTCAAAAAAAAATTGGTTTTATTCCTGGTACTTTAATATTCTACACATATATATATTTGAGCCACCAAGAATAAATTTTCATGTTAGGTGTGAGGTAGGAGTCTGTTATTATTAATTTTCCACTCCTCCAGGAGTTTTCCAACCTCTCTTGAATAATCCATACTTTCCCTGTAGGGGAAAGTCACCTTTTTCAAGTACTAAGTTTTCATGTATAATTAAGTTTATTTCTAGACTTTATTCATTTGATCTGTCTTTTCAAGAAGCTGTATTACACTGCTTAAATAACTGTGACTTTATATTCTATTTTAACATTTGGAAGGATCTATCCCTGACTATGTTTTACTTTTCATATCAAATTTAGGATATGCTAGTTTAGTTCCAAGAAAATCTGATAAATATCTTCATTGAGATCTCATAAATGTATAGATTGATTTGGGAACAATTGTTATTTTTCTACCCAAACACAGAATAAGTCTTATAATTTATCCAAACATTTTATGTCTCTCATTAACATTCTAAAGTTTTCTTTTTATAAATCTTGAATATTTTTGTTCAGCTTATTCCTAAGTATTTTGTCCTTGTTTTTATTATTTAAATTTTTTTTTGTGTGTGGTACGTGCCCCTAGCAGGAACCAAATCTGGGACTCTCTGGTCCGCAGGCTGACACTCAACCGCTGAGCCAAACTGGCCAGGGCTAATGAAAACATTTTCATTATATTTTTATTTTTATTTTATATAGGTGGCAATTGATTTTTTAAATAATAAATTTGTAACTAACCACTGAATAATTCTGTTTTTGTAATGGTGCTTCAGCTAATTTTCTTGTATTTTCCAGATACCACTATATAATTTACAAAGTTGCTTCTTTCTTTTAAATGTTTTATCATTACTTTTTTCTGAATTCTATGTGAATAATATTAGTAATGATAGATAGCCTTGCTTTATTCCTGATATTAGGAATACTTTTAATCTTTCACCAATAAGCATGATTTGGGAAATATATGGGGTTTTTTTCTGGCTAAAGAGCTATTCATCTATTCCTACTTTTTTTTTATTTTTTATTTTTTATCCTCATCCGAGGACTCTTTCCATTTTTTGTTCAGGTAGAGTGGGAGGGAGAGAGAGGAACAGAGAGAGAGAGAAACATCGATGTGAAAGGAACACATCGAGTGGCTGCCACCCGCACAACCGACCAGGGCCGGGGACAAACTGCAACCGAGGTACGTGCCCTTAGCGGGAACCGAACCCGGGTCTCTCAGGACCGCAGGCCGACGCTCTAACCGCTGAGCCAAACCGGCCAGGGCTATTCCTACTTTATTAAGGGTTAAAAAAAATAAAAATGAAATACAAATCAGCAGTTACAAAATGGTCACAGGGATATAAAGTACAGCATAAGGAATATAGTCAAATAATATTGCAATAACTGTGTGTGGTGCCAGGTGGGTACGAGACTTATCAGAGGGATCACTTTGTAAGTTATATAAATGTCTAACCACTATATTGTACACCTGAAACTAATATAATATTAAATGTCAACTGTAATTGGAAAATAAAATTTTGAATTAAAAATGGACATTGAGCCTGGCCGGTGTGGTTCAGTGGTTGAGCAATGACCCATGCACCAAGAGGTCGCCGGTTTGATTCCCGGTCAGGGCACATGCCCAGGTTGTGGGCCAAATCCCCAGTGCGGGGCATGCAAGAGGCAGCTGACCAATGTTCTCTCTCATCGATGTTTCTATCTCTCTCTCTCCCTGTCCTTTTCTCTCGTTCTAAAATCGATAAAGAAAAAAATTTGTTAATGGACATTGAATATTATCAAAAGCATTTTCTGTATAAATGAGATTATCATGTAATTTTCTCCTAAATTCTATTTATATGATAAATTTTATTAAACTAGATTTCCTTATGTTAGAGCATTCCTGTATTCTTGATTATCTCCACTTGTAGATGTAGTATTTTTTGTTTTTTTTAATCCTCACCCAAGGACATTTTTCCATTTTTTGTTCAGATAGAGTGGAAGGGAGAGAGAGGAAGAGAGAGAGAGAGAGAGAGAGGGAAACATCGATGTGAAAGGGACACATCAAGTGGTTGCCACCCGCACGACCAACCAGGGCCAGGGACAAACTGCAACCGAGGTACATGCCCTTAGCGGGAACGGAACCGGGGTCTCTCTGGGCCGCAGGCCGACGCTCTAACCGCTGAGCCAAACCGGCCAGGGCTGGAGTAGTGTTTTTAATGTGATGCTAGACTTCACGTGCTAACAGAATTTTGTATTGATATTTTAAGTAAGATTGGTGGCTGTTTTGTAGCATTTTTATTCTGTTCTGTAATACTTTGATCAAGTTTGGCACCTTTCTTCCTCTTCTATGCTCTGGAATTAATTAAATGGAATTATTTAAATCCAAGCCCCTAATCACTACAGGAGACTGACTACATCCATAGTGTGCATGAAAAGGTTTTGGTAAACACTAAGTGTTCTATAAATATTAACTTTTAGGGGCAGCAATACCTCAAATGTCCTGGTACATAAAGTCCTGGGAGGAGCACATTTCGGTCAAAGAAGGTTGACATTTGGCTTGATTACCTTAAAGCCACAGACACATTTTCCATCCCCCCCCCCCTTTTTTTATCCTTACCTGAGGACATTTTTTCATTTTTTGTTCAGATAGAGTGGGAGGGAGGCAGGGAGGGAGGGAGGGAGGGGGAGAGAGGGAGGGAGAGAGGGAGGGAGAGAGAGAGAGAGAGACATCCATGTGAAAGGGACACATCGAGTGGCTGCCACCTGCACGACCCATCCAGGGCCGGGGACAAACTGCAACCAAGGTACGTGCCCTTAGCGGGAACCAAACCCGGGTCTCTCCAGACCGCAGGTTAATGCTCTAACTGCTGAGCCAAACCAGCCAGGGCTCCACTTCCCCTTTTATATAATCTATCATGAAAAATCAGATTTCATTTCCCATAAGATTCTCATGAATGGAAATCACTGCTCCCATAATACCTTTTTTATGAGAATGGGAAGGGCCTTCAAAGCCCCAGGTCAGCCCCTCCCATTCTAGGAAGGCAGAGACAGGTCTACAGAGGTGACAGAATGACCTGAGGGTACACTGCATGGCAGTGACAGATTTCAAACCTAGGCCATCTGACTCTGACCTTGTGTGCTTTCCATTATGCACAACTGCCTCTCTTCTGGCAATAGAACTGAGAGCCTCTCACAGGCCCCACTGAGGGCCCGTGCAACCCCTTCTATCCCAGTCAATTTCCCCAGACACATCTAACCTTGGGGATGACATATTGTCTGAATTTCGTGTCCCGGGTCACAGCATGGGGTAAATTAGAAGGCAAGAGGTTGATGTATCTTTGTATCTCATTCAACACAGCCTCTGTGTAGGGCATCTTCATCTTGTCCTTCATACTGGGGCTCTGGTTGTGTCCAATCACTCTGTCAATTTCTTCATGAACTTTGGCTGCAGAGACATGAATCATGAATGCCACTCAAGAGATGTGTTCCCTGGATACCTGGAAATTACCTAAATGCTTGCAATATACAACAGAAAGTGGTCTAGAAAAGGTCCCCAAGGTCAAAGACATATTGCTAAACAGCCCTTTGCTCTGCTCCTGATGGAATTTCTCCTTTCTATTTTGCTGTAAATACCAGAAAGTTTGCTGAAGGAAACATAAAGGCTTGTTAACTATGTTCTCAGCCTTCTGGCTTCATTAGTTTGTTCTCATATACAGGTGAGGCGAGGACCTTTGTGGCAGAGATTATGGTTAAACCCATGATTCCTGGCAAAGCAGCTATTGAAGGAAAATGTTTGATCCTCACTCTAGTGGGAGCATCTCCTTTGTCACATTCATCCAGTCTTGTACATGTTTTGTAGGAATGGTAAATGCCATTTTGTTGAGCAGTATAAACACTGGCTTTGTAAGACCTATGCTCTGAGAATGTGCTTGAGAAAATCGAGCTACTACAATTTCATTTCTGAATGTTAAGATATATCAAAGATAAAAATCCCCTTTGGGGAATCTGGTCCATTTTCAGGTCGGGAAAACAGAGGCCTGAAAGATGAAGTAACTTGTTTGAAGTCACATAGCCAGGTATTGACAGGCCCGAGATGAGGATCCAGCATGGCGACCCATGAGTCCCTCATCAAAACAGGGCTTACTCTGTGGCACTGCACCTCGTATATAAGAGTAAGGATTCAGAAGACCCTCTGTTTTCAACTTAGATGACTGCCTTTGAGTTCTTAAAGGTGTTTCTTCCTTATCAGTATTATTAGAATTCTGGTCTACCAAAGCAAAAACACATAGATGGTCCTTCGCATGATGCTCTACAAGGCAGCTCAGAGAAAGCGAAGCAGTCACTGTGAGCAGTATCTTTCCACCCTCATCTGGTGCCTGGATCTTATTTTTTATTTGGCCACTAGAATATTTACTGTACCTTCCATTCTGGATGCTTCATTAGGAGCAGGAGCCCATATCTCAGGGTGGAACTGGTTGTCTCTGTTCCTGCTGCAAACAAATTGGATCCACAGTGTACCAAGTTCTCCAAGTGAAATTCAGACACTGGGTTGTTTCTCCTGTAGATGGTAGAATTAATGGCTACATGAGTTAAAAGGAAGGCAATGACTCATCAGAGCTCCACAATCATGCTTCTTTACTAGTAAAGAAGCTGATGAACAAAATAGACCTAGAGATGTAGAAAGAAGTAGAAACAGTCCAGCCAGCGTGGCTCAGTGGTTGAGCATTGACCCATGCGCCAAGAGGTCACCGGTTCGATTCCTGGTCAGGGCACATCCCCAAGTTGTGGGCCCAATACCCAGTGGGGGGTATGCAGGAGGCAGCCAATCAATGTTCTCTCTCATCAATGTTTGTATCTCTTTCTAACCACTGAGCCACACTGGCTGGACTGTATCCTACTTTTTTCTACATCTCTGGGTCTATTTTGTTCATCAGCTTATTTTGTTCACTATATTCCATAAATAAGTGAGATCATGTGGTCTTTGGTGTTTTCCTCAAAAAATTAAAAATTGAACTGCCATTTGACCCAGTGATCCTACTTCTAGGAATATATCCTAAGAAGCCTGACACATGAATCAGAAAGAATATATGTACCTCTATGTTCATAGCAGCACTATTTACAATTGCTAAGATCTGGAAACAGCCTAAGGGGCCATCAATAGATGAGTGGATAAAAAAGCTGTGGTACATGTACACAATGGAATATTATGCAGCTGTAAGAAAGAAAGATCTCCCTTAAATAATTTTCATATCAATCCCTGTTTTAGGCTCTGCTACCAGGAAACTGACCTTCAGGCAACTCCTAACTGTTCTCTCTGCATCTACTGCTGACCCCTCCAGGATGTCCTTTACATCACAACATTTTCCTTTGGAGTGAAGAGGATATTTTGATGAGTTTAAATGCCTCTACTGACTCCAAGGAAATTTCTGAGCAGTAAAGGAGCTTTGGCACACCTTTCTTAGACATGTTTTCTAAGGAAACAGGCTATCCAAACCAGCCCTTTAGAACTTAAGACTAAACAAGTTATCATTAATTAAATGTTTGCTATAATTTGCACATTTCTGATAATGATTGAATGGTATTTTTCTTTCATTTAAATATACTTGAGGGACATTTGCATAGATAATGTTAGTTTTATAGGGTTCAAAGTATAATTTTCATATTTTTAGTTGTTATATATGTTTATACATGAAATATCATTTTTCCAATCTGTTGCTGCTCACCATCTTGGCTGCTTTCCTACTGATGTACTTGTGCACAGTCATACTAGTATTTTTTGAGACAGTCTGAGGGTTAGTGGGTGGATGAGTATTTGCTATTCAATAGTTTTTTAATCCTCACCTGAGGACAGATAGAGTGGGAGGCAGAGAAAGGGAAAAGAGAGAGAGACAGAGAAACATCGACGTGAAAGGGACACATCGAGTGGCTGCCTTCTGCATGACCCAACCAGGTCTGGGGACAAACTGCAACCGAGGTATGTGCCCTTAGCAAGAACTGAACCTGGGTCTCTCTGGACCCCAGGCCGATGCTCTAACCACTGAGCCAAACCGGCCAGGGCAACTATTCAATAGTTTTAATACCACTCATGGTTAATGTATAATGTGTTTGCTGTAGAATCTTTAGCCACCACCCATTTCACTGTTTTCTCTGTTTTTTTTTTAATCCTTACTCAAGGACACTTTTTGCATTTATCTTTAGATAGAGCAGGAGGGAGAGAGGGAGGGAGAGAGAGAGAGAAACATTGATGTGAGAGACACATTGACTGATCGCCACCCACACAACCCCAACGGGGGCCAGGGACAAACTGCAAGCGAGGTACATGCCCTTAGCAGGAACCAAACCCGGGACTCTCTGATTTATGGGCCGACGCTCTAACCACTGAGCCAAACCGGCCAGGGCTAGCCTCCACTCATTTCAAATAACGAAGTTGTTTCTATGAGAAAACACAATCCGTTTTTTTATAATGTATGGGTCTATGACAGACTGCAAAAATGGCTGACTACATGTGTGTAAGTGAAGCGTAAAGAAAATGCATGTGTTTTATCCACCCCAAGGTAAATATATGTTCAGAAACATGCATTTCTATGTATGTATGTATAGCATGGAGGTCGTCCTAAATATGTATCGAGAATATTTAAATGCTAATGTACAAGTATAGGAAGTAAATAAAAATACAAAGGAAAAAGAGGGCTTCAGACCATTTTTGAAGTTCTATTATTACTGATAATAGTGTACCCCATTGCCATAAAAATCAAAATACCAAGAATTACCTACACGGTGTGACCGTGCTCTCTGGGGAAGGAGACGCGGTATTGGAGACGGTGCATACATACCTGTTCCATCTTGCTGAGGAAACAGTCGAGGTAGTCTCGAGGGTTATTCTGATCCAGGGACTCTTGGTGCTCTTTCACTTTTTCCAGAATGAAATCTTTAACATCTTGAATCCTTTTGGAAAATGATCTGTGCTCTCCGGGAAGATGCCTTATGAGGTTCGGCCACAGATTATACATCTAAGTATGAGGGGAAAACACACAGGACATTCAGTTTGTAAAGAGGCCAGAGTTTCTAAATGGCGTGTCTAACCCTCTGTGTGGTCTAACCAGATAATCCCTTCCTCTACTTCCAAGCAGAAGAGAAGGGAAGATAAATATTACATACAAAAGAGCAGCCCCTGTTCATCTCCTTGCTCATCCCAGCTTTGGCCAACCCCGGAGTCATACAGGAGAAAATGGGTGGAGGGGCTTAAAAGAAATATATGCAACTGGGAATGTCTTATCTGTCTTCTTCTGTGTGAGTAAACCCATAGAGGCAAGCAGAGGGCAACTTCTGATAATGCTGGGATAACTGTCCTTGCACTCATTCACTCGACATACATGGAGGGAAGGTGACCATGAATGCTGACGTTGGCACCTTATTCCTGGAGTAGGGGAGTGGAGCTCATAGCCCTTTACCCAGCCTGCAAGCTGCCAGTGGACCAATGAGATCAACCAAGAGTACAGAGCCTTGGCCTTACCTGGTTCCATAGAGAGTTTACTCTCTGAAAATTTTCATTTAACAAACCCATCAGGTGAAGGAACTTCTCATCGTGGTACTGGAAACGCGAGTTGAAGAGGATGGAGCAGATCACATTGCAGGGAGCAAGTGAGAGGATGAAAGTAGGGTCAAAGGGCTGAGCTGATGTGAAAAATGAACAACATAATAGAATTTTCACAACACCAATCAGAAAGAATGTATGTACCCCTATGTTCATAGTAGCACTATTTACAATTGCTAAGATCTAGAAACAGCCCAAGTGTCCATCAGTAGATGAGTAGATAAAAAAGCTGTGGGCCCTGGCCGGTTTGGCTCAGCGGTTAGAGCGTTGGCCTGCGGTCCGGAGAGACCCGGGTTCGGTTCCCGCTAAGGGCACGTACTTCGGTTGCAGTTTGTCCCCGGCCCTGGTTGGTCGTGCGGGTGGCAGCCACTCGATGTGTCCCTTTCACGTCGATGTTTCTCTCTCTCTCTCTCTCCCTCCCACTCTATCTGTACAAAAATTGGAAAAATGTCCTCGGGTGAGGATAAAAAAAAAAAAAAAAAAGCTGTGGTACATGTACACAATGGAATACTATGCAGCAGTAAGAAAGAAAGATCTCTTATCCTTAGAGACGACATGGAGGAGTATTATCCTGGAGACTATTATCCTAAGTGAAACAAGCCAAGCTGAAAAAGACAAATACCACATGATCTCACTTATTTGTGGAATATAATGAACATAACAGTCTAAGGAATAGAGTAGACCCAGAGACATGGAAGTAGGGTACAGACTGACAACCCTCAGAAACGGGGGTGGTGGGGGGAGGAAGAGATAAACCACAGAACTTATATGCATAACCAATGAACATGGACAACAAAGCCGGGGACGGGGTGAGGGGAATGAGGAGGAGGGTGTCAATGGGGGAAAAAAAAGGAGAAACATCTGTAACAAAATTAAAATAAAAAATAAAAAAGACAAATACCACATGATCTCACTTATTTGTGGAATATAATGAACAAAGCAAGTTCAAAGACATGAAAGTGGGGTGCAAAATGACAAACCTCAGAAGAGGTGGACATCGGGGGAGGGAAGAGATAAACCACAGAACTTATATGCATGTATGTGTAAACAAGAACATAGACGATAATGCTGGAGGTGGGGGAATTGGGAGGAGGGTGTCAATGGGGGAAAAAGGAGGAACATTTGTAACAAAAATCAATAAATAAACATTAAGTAAATAAATAATCTATATAATCAAAAAAATTTTTAATCATGCCCTGGCCAGTTTGGCTCAGTGGTTAGAGAGTGTCAGCTTTCGGTCCAGAGAAACCTGGGTTCGGTTCCCGCTAAGGGCACGTACCTTGGCTGTTCCCGGCCCTAGTTGGTCGTGAGGGTGGCAGCTACTCAATGTGTCCCTTTCACGTCAATGTTTCTCTCTCTCTCTTTCTCTCTCTCTCCCTCCCACTTTATCTGAACAAAAAATGGAAAAATGTCCTCGGGTAAGGATTAAAAAAAAAAAAATTAAAAGAAAAAAAATTTTAAATCATTATTTTTAAAAAATAGAATTTTCACCTTCTCCCTGCTCAGATGTTTACATAGAATTTATTTCCTATAAACTTTTCCAAATTAGGATGTAAACACCTTCTAATAATACTGCTACTGGATAGTATTACACTATGCTAATAATAATATCAATTATGTTATTATATGAATACTTTAGTAGTCATAAGAGCCACAGTTGACATTATGGAGCATTTACTATATAATGGATAACATGTGACTGTCTTGCAAACTCAATTATTTCACTCTCATTCAGAGGTTTGATGTGTTAGCCCCATTTTTCAGATGTGGAAACTGCATCTTAGAGAAGTTAAGAAACTTGTCCAAATTTATATTCCAGTAAGTGCTGAAGTTGGAAAATGAGTCTAAACTAAAGGACTTGAGAGTCCTAACTAAAAGCCCTGCATCATTTTCTTCCTAACCCTTTTCCTAGCCAGCTCCCTGATTAAAGAGAGCAGGTGATGGACCACAAAGGGATTCCCAAAGGAGGAGCTTTGACTGGGAGCGGTGTGTGTGGGAAGTCCCCTTGTCCCCAACGGAGTGGAATTCACCCTTTGTTTTTCTGAGCTCCTCCACCAGGTACTTGGCTTCCTCCTGGATCCTCTCCTCAAGGCTTCTCTTCCCCATTCCAAAGTTCCTCAGGGTCATGAGGGAGAAGCGTCGCATTTGCTTCCATGTCTCTCCATTACTGAAAATGAGTCCTAGGGAAAGAAGCAAGGAGCAGGAAAGGACTTAGTGTCACAGAGTCGATCTTCCCTAAAGCTAATATCTTGTGTCTACTTGCAACTGTTTCCACTGCCCCTTAGCAGGGATTCAGCAAATGGCAAATTTTTTTTTTTAATCCTCACCTGAGGACACTTTTGCATTTATCTTCAGATAGAGCAGGAGGAAGAGAGGGAGAAAGAGAGAAACCTCGACGTGAGAGAGACACATCGAGTGGCCGCCACCCACACGACCCCAACTGGGGCCGGGGACAAACTGCAACCGAAGTACATGCCCTTAGCAGGAACTGAACCCGGGTCTCTCCGGACCGCAGGCCGACGCTCTAACCGCTGAGCCAAACCGGCCAGGGCAGCAAATGGCAATTTAAGAGCACAACCTATTTTGGGGTTTGGGTGAAATAATTGTCACAAAGAAAAGAAAACTGCCCAGCCGGTGTGGCTCAGTGGTTGAGCGTTGACCCACCAAGAAGTCACCAGTTCAATTCCCAATCAGGGCACATGCCCAGGTTGTGGGCCCAATCCCCAGTGAGGGGCATGCAGGAGGCGGCCAATTTATGTTCTCTCTCATTGATGTTTCCATCTCTCTCCCTCAACCTTCCTCTCTCTCTAAAATCAATAAAGTAAAAGAAGTAAAAGAAGAAGAAGAAAAGGAATGCCTGTTTAAGGATTGTGAACCCGAAGCTGCGACCCGTGAATATCAGATCAATGAAAGCGGAGAGAACTGCACAGCAGGCGCGGAGAGTGGGGCTCATGCTCTAAAATGTGATCGTACCTCTCAGTCTGAGAGTTTGATTGAAAGGGGGGAATTGTTAATAAAAGAAATACGGGCCAAAATGGAGTCACTTTTGCTAAGCCACGTCACCAAATCAAAACTTAATTACTGCCCTGGCCAGTTTGGCTCAGCGGTTAGAGCGTCAGCCTGCGGTCCGCAGAGACCCGGGTTCGGTTCCCGCTAAGGGCATGTACTTCGGTTGCAGTTTGTCCCCGGCCCTGGTTGGTCGTGCGGGTGGCAGCCACTCGATGTGTCCCTTCACATCGATGTTTCTCTCTCTCTCTCTCTCTCTCTCGCCCTTCCTCTCTCTCCCTCCCGCTCTATCTGTACAAAAAATGGAAAAATGTCCTCGGGTGAGGATAAAAAAAAAAAAAAAAAAAAACTTAATTACTAACCTGACTGCAGTTTCAGCCTCTCCCAGGAGCGGAATTTTAAACCCATCAGTCTGGAATTTCCTAATCTATGCAGCCAGGTAATCTACATGATAAAACTCCTGCCATTCCCTTTCTCCCAAAAGTAGAGGACTTGACCTAAGAATAAGTCTTTCTTTCCTTTTGCTAATAACTCCCCTCCCATACCTGTCTGCCTGTTAACACCTTCCCTTTTGTACAACCCCTCAGAAGTCGTTCTTGTTGATAGAACAGAAGCTGTCCGATATGTTGGATAGCTTCATAAAACCAATTCAATCTTCAAATTTACTCAGTTGAATTTTGTTCTTCAACAGAATCAACTCTACTTCTCTGGGACTTGCAATTTTACAATTTTAAGTGGTTTGGAGGTATTAACTGTATTCTTTTACATATACCAAATATTACACAATCAAAATAAAAACAAAGATGGGGCTGGCTATGCGGAAAGACAAAGGATGGGTTTAGAAGGTTAGGGCTTGAGGCAAAGGATATCAACTGATCTCTCGACTTTCAGGAAGTAGAGGGAGCTAGAGATTGGGTTCACTCATGTAGTCAATGACTCAATCCATCATGCTCATGTAATAGGAACTCTACACCAAAGCTCAGGTGAGCTTCCTGGTTGGTGAACACATCAATGTGCCCAGAGGGTGACACATTCCGATTCCCAGGGAGAGGACAGAGAAGTTCTGTGATTGGGACTCTCTCAACCCTTGCCCTATGTGTCTCTTCATTTCCATCCTTCATATAATAAAACTATAATTGCAAGTTAGCACCTTCCTGAGTTCTGTGAATAAGTCTACCAACTATTAGACCTAAGGAGGTCACAGGAACCCCTGAATTTTTCACCAGTTGGTCAGAAACATGGGTGACCTGGGAATCCCTGAATTATGGCTAGCATCTGAAGTGAGGGCAGTCTTGGGGATGATGCCTTTAACCTATGGCGTCTGCACTAACTCTGGGTAATAGCATCAAAATTACATTGCAGTACTGTAGCATCTAATCAGTTGCTTGGTGCACATCAGACATTTATTGTTAGTTAATCATTTCTTGCTAAAGAAATTAACCCATATTTTGATTTGAAACATACCATATCCTTTCAGGACATCTGAAATAATTGGAAAAGGCCCTCTACCGAGGAATTCATCACCTTGGTTGACCAGCGCTTCCTTCACCACCTCATATCCATGCAAGACCACGACAGGCTTGGGACCAAAGTACAGCGTGAACACAGGGCCATACTCTTTGGCTAACTGGAAAGAAGATTCAAGCAGTTGTATAAATGCTATTGTGAAATCTCTCCACTGGAGGATTGGGTAGAAATTAAGTAATAATTTATACTTAGCTTAGCCTTTGCCCCTTCCATTCCATTTTAGAAATTTAACCTAGGGTATAGTCAAGGATTCACTCTTTCCATTTATTTAGTAAGCACCAATACTGTGTCAGACACTGTGGACAGCCCAGGAGCCCCGATGGAACGTAGAATCGAGTCAAGTTTTAGGCAGCAAACAGCCAAACAAACTACATTTGCAATAGAAATTGAGCATAATTCTATGAACGTGAAGAGTACTGTGTTGGATAATAATGGGAAAACTTAATAAAACAGAGAGGTCAGGCATCTATGAGGAGGTAAGATTTAAAGTTCAACTAAAACTGAGAAGGAAGGATCCAGGACAAGGGTTTGGGGGAGAGCTCACTAAGCAGGTATGAAAAAGGACGAAAATCTATATATTTATCATAGCATTGTTCTAAGAGGAAAAAGAGAGTATTGAACAGCCAACAATTGGGGCACAGTTTTCAAACACCATTCTACTCTATTTTTATAGGTTTGACTATTTTAGATTCCACATGTAAGTGAGGTCATGCATTATAAGTCTTTCTGTGTCTGATATATTACTTAGGATAATATCTTCCAAGTTCATCCATGTTGTAAATAGCAGGGTTTCCTTCTTTTCTTTTCCTCACCCGAGGACATTTTTCCATTTTTTGTTCAGATAGAATGGGAGGGAGAGAGAGAGAGAGAGAAACATTCATGTGAAAGGGACACATCGAGTGATTGCCACCCGTACGACCCAACCAGGGCCGGGGACAAATTGCAACTGAGGTATGTGCCCTTAGTGGGAACTGAACCCGGGTCTCTCCGGACGGCAGGCCGATGCTCTAACTGCTGAGCCAAATGGGCCAGGGCCTTATTTTCTTAAAAGCTAAATAATATGCCCTGGCCGGTTTGGCTCAGCGGTTAGAGCGTTGGCCTGCGGTCCGGAGAGACCCGGGTTCGGTTCCCACGAAGGGCACGTACCTCGGTTGCAGCTGGTCCCCGGCCCTGGTTGGGTCGTGCAGGTGGCAACCACTTGATGTGTCCCTTTCACGTCGATGTTTCTCTCTTTCTCTCCCTCCCACTCTATCTGAAAAAAATATCGAAAAATGTCCTCGGGTGAGGATAAAAAAATAAAAGCTAAATAATATTCCAGTATGTGTGGGAGAGAATAGGCAGATTGATAGATAGATGATAGGTAGATACCCCACATTTAAAAAATTTATCCATTGATGGACATATATAGGTTATTATGGATAATACACCCTTGTACAATGAACTCCTGGTGACAGTATCTTTTCTCATGAGTCAGGGTAGCAGAGCTGGGTTGTATCAGAGCATGACGTTGGGGAGGGGAGTGAGGATCACAATGTATCCTATTGATCATTTAGTGTAAAATAGTAGTAACAATAATAATCATATCAAAGGACGTTTAACATTTAACACATTTTTACATTTGCTGGGCTTGCCTTTTGGTAAGTATTATTTACTGAGGGGATTGGATGCCTTTCAATGAAAATATTGTGAAGGACAAACACATGCTAAGTGAACTACAGTAAAAATTATTCCATTAAGCAAGGAAGGAAATATACATCAGCCAGAGTTAACCCATTGTATAGTTAATTCATCCCTCGGGCGTAACGGCTAACTGCAGATATCTGCTTCTGTACGTGCTTGCTTGCTCGCAAACCTTTGGCCCACATTTCTTAACAGGGGCTAAGACAACTATATGAGCAACCCTCCCCCGCGAACCCCAAGCTTGGGGCTGCTCTCTCCTCTGCGTAGGATGGGACAGTTGCGGCACGGTTAATAAAGCTCTCTTAATTTGAACCCAGTTCAGAGTCTGAGTCTGGTCTGTCTCGTTGGTCTACATTTGGAGATCTACAGCATTTTGACAAGTGAGGTCCCCCTCTGGCAGGTTGACCTCCTCAGACTCCAGGAGACAGGTCCATCCCGGGAGCGGACGGGCGGTCTAGGGGAAGGCCTCGGAGAGACGTTCCTCCGCCCCGGACGCCATTCTGCCCTGGAATTGTCTCGACTCCAAATTCCATCTAGAGAGCATCTGGAAACCCTGGGCCCAGGTTCGGTTCAGCAGACGGGACGTCCCTCGGTAAGTCTGTTTCTGGAAACTCTGCAGAGTGAGGGGAAGTGGATCTGCTGGACGCAGCACAGAGATCCAGCCCCAGGGCCACAGCGAGACTTTGTTCGCTCTTGGCCCCGGTTCGGTTTGTCTGGCTTTTTGTCTGCCTTATTTGTTTGTCCTTTTGTGTTTTGTATTTCTGTGTTGTGCCAGCCTGTGTCCTTCAAAATGGGTCAGGGACTTTCAGGACCTAAGACCCCTCTTCAATGTCTCCTTGATAACTTCTCAGATTTTCCAATCGCGCCTCAGGTTATGGCATCTCGGTAGACCCTGGGTTCTTGTGCACTTTGTGCGAATTGGAGAGGCCCACTTTCCGGGTCAACTGGCCCTCCCAGGGCACTTTTGATTTAGGCTCTTTGTTTGCAGTCTGAGACGTTATCTATGGGACTCCCGGACACCCAGACCAAACTCCTTACACTGATGTTTGGATTGACATAGCTACTGACAAACCTAATTATGTTAAGAAATGCTCTTGGCCTAATAGGAAGAAGATATTACTTGCTCAGCCACCGCAGAAGCCTCAGAAGCCCTCGGCTCCTACTCCCTCTGGGAGACTTTACCCTGTTCTTTCAGGTCCCCCAGAAGACCCTCTCACTGACTCTTTGAGGCCACCCCCTTATTGGTCTCCACCACCCGCCACTACCGTGGCCGGAGAGGCTGAAGCCCTTCAGCTGCTCAGTCCTTCCCATACACGTGCTGGCAGCCAGCACCCCTTATAACCGTCCTCCACAGGCACCAGACTCCTCGGCTGCCGTCCTGCCCCTCCGTCAGGTTGCTCCACCACCGGGTGGAGACCAGAATCGGCCCTTCATCGTCTATGTCCCCTTCTTGACTAGTGATCTGTATAACTGGAAACAACAGAACCCCTCCTTCTTTGATAAACCCCAAGGTTGAATCTCTGTCCTAGAGACAGTCTTCCACACCCATCAGCCCTCTTGGGATGACTGTCAGCAATTGTTGCAGGTGCTGTTCACCTCTGAGGAGAGGGACAGGATCCACAGAGAGGCAGCGAACTCTGTTCTCGGGCCAGATGACCAACCCCTCACGAATCCAGCCCAATGAGGGGTCTACCTCCCTACCCTTCGACCTGACTGGGACCCGATCACCGATCAAGGTAAGGAGGCTTTAACCCAGTATCGCCCATCTCTACTTCAGGGCCTCCCCAGAGCTGCTAGAAAGCCAACTACTCTGTCTAAGGTAAGCGAGACTGTTCAAACCGCAGGGGAGTCCCCAGCGGCCTTTCTTGAACGTCTCATGGAGGCTTATCGCCTCTTTACTCCCATAGACCCGGAGGCCCCTCAGAATAGACAGGCCATTAATATTGCCTTTGTCACCCAGTCGGCCCCAGACATTAGGAGGAAACTCCAGAATTTGGAGGGTTTTGAAGGAAAGAATTTTAGTGAGTTAGTTGAAATAGCTCAGAGAGTATTTAACACCAGGGACGACCCAGAAACGGCTAATACCAAAGGAGTCACAAAGGGAGTCATAACTGCTCTTCAGGAGAATCAGAAAGAACAACGGGAAATGGGCCTAAAAACACAGGACAAGCCCACGGAAACCTCGGCCACCTCTTGACCCTAACCAATGTGCCTACTGCAAATATGGCCATTGGAAGAAAGACTGCCCTAAGAGGGGGGCCCGACAGAAACCTAAGGACCTCATCCTCCTGGAAGACACTGAATGAGGGGGCCGGGGCTCCTACAGATTAGGCCCCTGGGAACCCAAGGTAACATTACAATAGGAATTTGAGAAACTAAAAACGGCCTTAATGTCTGTTCAGCCCTAGCTCTGCCTGATATCACTAAGCCCTTTCAGCTCTTCCTCTCTGAGACTCGAGGCATTGCCAAAGGGGTCCTAACCCAATCATTAGGGCCTTGGAAGAGACCAGATGCCTACTTATCTAAGAGATTAGACTCGGTAGCCTGGGAGCAATCGCAGCTACTGCTATTTTAGTTAAAGAAGCTTCCAAGCTGACTCTAGGGCAAGACCTCCAGATTACTGGGGTGCACTCTGTTGAGGCTCTCCTCAGGAGCCCTCCAGACCGGTGGATGTCTAATGCCCGGATCACCCAATACAAGGTACTCCTCTTAGACTCCTCCTGAATCCAGTTCCTGAAGACCTCTGCCCTCAACCCGGCCACCCTGCTGCCTGACGATGACCCTCAGGCTCCCTTCATGAGTGCTCAGACATTCTTGAGACTAACTAACCTGAGGTCTGACCTACTGACAACCCTCTCCCAACTCCAGAGTGTGCTCTCTACACAGATGGAAGCAGCTTCATCTGGGAAGGGGTCCGGTGTGCGGGAGCAGCAGTAGTCATGCAAGGTAAGGTCATCTGGGCCCAGGCTCTAGGGCACGGGACTTGAGCTCAGAGGGCTGAACTAATTGCTCTAACTCAGGCTTTAAGATGGGCGAAAGGCAAGTCAGTAAACATCTACACTGACAGCCGGTATGCCTTCGCCACAGCCCATGTCCACGGGGCCCTCTACCAAGAAAGGGGACTCCTAACCTCAGGAGGGAAACATCAACAATAAAGAAGAGAGAGCTCGGGAAGATGGCGGTGGGCAGGACCGGAGGGAGAGTGAGTGTGTGAGAGAGTGAGCGAGTGTGAGCGAGTGTGAGTGGACGTGAAGGTGGACGACCAAACCCAAGCAGTGCAGAGCCTCGGAGCAGAAGGTTCCTGTGCTGTGGACGGGAGCAGCCAGCTACCAAGGTAAGCAGTTCTTCAGGGCGTTTCTGTCTGTGCCACAGGGAGGTCCCACCATTTCGGAAAATCCCAGGTCTTCCCTAGGAGGAGGCAGTGGGAGCGGCTAGGGCCCAGCAACCTGAGCCCACCAGCGCACCTGACACCATTGGACCAGTGGACACTCTGTGTCAACACAGACCTGTACATAGTAGTGAAGCTGCCAAGACGCCGGTCGTGGAAGCCGCGGACAGCCCTGAGCCCAGCACCATCCCCCACAGTAACAGCCCAATCAGAGTCCAGATATACCCCCAGCAACAGAGGCTGGGGAGCAGACATCCATCCCCAGGCAACAGAAGCACAGACCAGCAGCTGAGACCCATCCCGAAAAACTACAACAAAAGCTGAGCAGGAGTTGAGCCCCACTGGGCAGCAGCACTCCCCAGCCGCCAGCAGCGGGACCTGGGGCTCATCAGAGGCCTGTGCAGTCCAGCAGCTCACAAGAGCAGTGGGAAGCCGGAGCCCGAGAGGGACTGGTGCGATCCAGCTGCCTGCCCACGGGACTGGCAGGGTGCTGAAGCACCAGAGAGGCCTGTGCGACCCAGCAGGGACTGTGTGATCTAGTTACCCGTGGGACCTGCAGGGTGCTGAAGCACCAGAGAGGCCTGTGCGACCCAGCAGGGACTGTGCGATCCAGTTACCTGCGGGACCTGCAGGGTGTGGGGGCACCAGAGAGGACTGTGTGACCCAGCTACACCCAAGATAGGCGTAGAGGATGTGAAAATGGAGGTGGAGTGAATGTAAACTACACAGACAATTTCCCAGGACCAAATGGGAATTACAACTAAAATAGACAAATCCTCAGAAAAAAGCAACAGTAAAGCAGCAGGACAGGACCATATAACCAGGAACACTGGTAGGATCTGCCGAGGCGCGAGAGGGTGGCAGACTGGGAACCCATGGACAGCAGCCGTCTTAGCTGTGAGCAGCACCCTTGGGGAATAAAGACCAAGCCCATTCCACAGTGCAGAGAGCCGGAACAAAGTGCTAAAATAGCCACAGCCACTCACCTGGGGGGGTGGGGGGGTACGGTAGAGGGAAGGCAGACTGGGCTGGAACTCTGTGGGGACACCCGGGATTTGGAGGGCATTCAGTTTTTGCTGAGTTGCGGTCACAAAAGATGGTGGCCAGTGTGCTCCTTCCCTGAGCTGTGGGAAAAGCAGCAGCTCCCCTCAAAGATTCAGCCTTTCCCAGGTGAGGCAAAGAAATGCATATTGAGGCTCATTAACAACCAGCATCTATCCACCCTCTGGAAATCCTCTTATGCAGAACACCAGGGCTACATTCCAAGGCACTGAGTAATTGAGACACCAGGAAAAAGCTAGAGGATAACTGAACCTTTCCTGGGCTTGCAACTCTACCCAGGAAAGTAAGACTTGACAGTGGTGTTTAACGTGGGCCCACCCAGGCTCATCCAAACCCAGCAGAGGGAGCCACAAACAACAGAACACCAACACCCACAGGGAAAATTTGGCAGGCTCCAAAACCCACTGAGATAGCCAAAATGGTGAAACAAAGAAACAAATCCCAAATGAAAGAACAAAGGAACTCTATCGAACATGAGATAAATGAAATGCAGTTAAGCAAATTATCGGAGATAGAGTTCAGAGCCATGATCTTGAGGAAGCTCAACAGCATGATCAAGGACATCAGCACCATGAGTAAAGATATAGAAACAGTGAAAACCAACCAAGTGGAAATGAAGAATGACATAGCAGAAATACAGAACACATTGGAAGGACTAACCAGCAGAGTAGAGAAAGCTGAGGACCAGATCAGTGAATTAGAAGACAGGGTAGAAAAAAATCAACCAATCAGAAA